GCACCAGCACGTCCTGCTGGGAAATGTAGTTTTTAGCTTTCCAACTTCTGTATGTAACACAGGAAAGAGCCAGGTACGGTTATGAGGGCCGTGAACAGTATCCGACTTCTTATCTGATGGCTGTGCTAACCCCATGCACTAAGAGACTTGGCATAGTTCTTGGCACATAGAACTCCCTCAGTAAATGTCAACTGGCATTGTTATTACACTGCTAGGGACACTTCTGGCCCTTTCACAAGCTCTCCACTTGGCCTTCCTGGTGCTGTCCATGGTTCTGAGTCTGCCTAGTCATATAGCTCACACTGTGGGACCCTCGGGAAGCTAGAACCCCCGTTCACTCACCCTATACTTAGCTTTGTGGGGGACATTAGGGCTTTCTGAGGGAAGGCTAGTCTCAATCCTTGGAACAAGAATCAGACAACAATCAGCATTTGTGGCTTTCACAGTTTAAAAGAAAAAGTCTCTCTGCACTGTGTCCTTAACTTTAGCCTTCATAATCCCCTTGGAGCCAGCAGGGAAGGCATAATAATAAGTGTTTTGTAGGAGCAAAAACTGAACTCTAAGAGGTTAGGTGGCAGATAGTAAATAACAGAGTCAGGTTCACACTCAACCTCCTGACTTAGAACTGTGTGTCCCCTCCACCCCATATTGTGACTTAGGGGGGATAATTGGAAACCAGCAACGTGCTGAGGATGTAAAAAAAACTTATCAGTTATAATCTACAGAAAATTACAAACCACTCAGTTATTCTTTCTACCTCCAAGTGTGGCTTTGGATGAAGGACTGTCATTCATTGAGGCTATAACATACTGGTCAAAGTAGGGAAACCATGGAAATACCAAGAAAAAGACTTGGCTCCTGCTGTTAAATAGTCCACAGATCATTCTGGAGAGTTGAGAATTGGATGCAAGAATGAGAGGCCAGCACTAGGCAATGGTAGCAAAAGCCAACTGTATGGAGGCAAGGTGCAGATGAGGTACCTGAAGGAAAGCTCTGGAGAGGAGGAAAGGAGCTGGATTTAGAGGATGCTAAGTTGTAGTGAGATGACGTTCCTCACTCAACTCAGGAGGGGATGGCTCAAGGTCTTTAGGGTGGGACAGGAAGCTCCTGGACATGTGACAGGGCGACAGAGCAGAAGGCAAGCCTGGTGCCCCATGAAGAAGCTTTCAGGTTGATGGCCTCTGAGATAATGGGGAAATGTCAAAGCTTGGAGATCCCAGGGAGAGACGTGAACCTCTGTATACTACCAGCTGATCCTCCACCATCACAGCCAGCAGGGAGGTGAGCAGAGAGGGAACATGAGAGAATACAAGGACCGCTCTCCTGAGCTGCTCTACAGCAATGGGATTTAAAACACATGGAGCTACCATCACTCACCACCGAATTTCCTTATTTAGAGAGTTGGGAAATGTTTGAGATCTTTAGACACTCCTTAACTAGATACAGACAACCTGGGAATCTCAGGAACTGGTCCTCTGTCTTGACTGAACATAAGATTGCCTGGAAAGTTTCATTGGTAATGAATATCTGGAGTGGGTGTATATGTCTGTGTTCTTTAAACACCTTCCAGCTGATTCCCGGCCCCCTCCCCAGGCTAAGTGGTCACAGAGTTCTGAATGTGGTGCCAGAAGACCCAGATTCTCACTTCAAATCCATCCTTCCCCAGTCTTAGGGTAGGTCTCTTGAGCCTGCTGGGACTCAGTTTCTTCATATGTATTTTGAGCACACTGTCCTTGGTTGTGAAGGTCTAGGGGATGAGAGACAGCTTAGAGCAAGGACAGGCTCACTGATGCTTGGGAAGGTTCACAGCCAGCTGGCAAAACAGATGTGGATGATCATGAAGCACAGCCCGCATTCCAGTAATTTCCCTGCACCCACTAGTAAAAGAGAATGAACCTAAACCATCAAACTGGCTTTTGGGAAAAGGGTGTTGGGCAAGGGGAGGAGATCCAGAGACAAAGGGAGGTGGGAGGAGTCCACATGACCAGAAACTCATTTGTTTAAGTCCTGAACCAGGGGATATGATCTTTCTTGTTGTTGACAAAAAGGTGATGCATTACTGAAGGGACTGAGAGGGCCAGATGGTGGGTGGAGGCAGGTGCCATGGCCTTGTTGACCCTGCATGAGGTTAGTTCCCCACTTCTCCTGGGACATGGCTTGTGACTACAGTGATTCTCATTTAAACTTAAATGCTGGCCTGGTGAGCTATTTCCTGCTAACTCATTGGATGTGGAAAGGTTGGTTCTGACTGGGCCCTGGACATTGCTGGGAGGCACAGGGTCCAGTCCAGACATCTGGATCTGTCCATTGTGTTTACACTACATCATCCCAAAAGGCTGGGAAGGCTTTATCCCTGGACGAGGGCTGGAGCAAGGTCATCCCCTTTTATCTTTATGAAACACCTGGATTTGAGGGCTAGCTTCATCTCTTATTAGTACCATGACCTTAGCTGGCTTGTTTAAACTCACTAGGCTTTGATTTTCCTCATCCATTGATGACTGGTTCTGTGTCCCAAGGTTCTTGTGAGGGTTAATCCCAGAACAAGTGGCTTAGTAAACATTAACTATAAGTAAGTTAGCCCCTCCACAGAGCCCTGTTTATTTAGAGACTTATTTTATTTTTAATTATGTGTACTTGTGTATGTCTGTAGGTGGGCATGTGCATGTGAGTGCAAGTGTTCACAGAGGCCAGAAGAAGGCATTGGGTCTTCTCAACCTAGAGTTTCAAGTAGTTGTGAGCTGCCCAACATTGGTGCTGGGATCCAAACTTGGGCCTTCTGGAAGAGCAGAAAGTGCTTTTGACCCACTGAGCCATCTCTCCACCCTCCTGAAACCATCTTATCCCTGAGGTCACCCCTGAGACTTGGCCTTCAGATGTCTAGCTCTTCTGGGAGAAGTAGAGAGCAGAATGCTGGCCCGGCTAGTTAGGCAGCAGTAGTTCTGGAAGCTTGGAATGGAGGGAGTAATGCAAGGTGCAGTCACAGGCAAAGTCATCTCTTTTTTAATAGCTTTGCCAAGTTGCTGAGGACAACTCAGAAGTGGTAGAATGAGAATGACAGAACATCCAGCTTTCTGCAGGGGAAGGAAAGATGGGGGAACACGGGCAGGGGGAAGGCCACACTCTCTTCCATCAGACAAGATGTACAAACATGGAGGGGGCCTGCCTCATGACCAGTATACATATCATCTCTCCTGCCCCTTCTTGGCCTAAATCAAGGATGTCGTTTGTTTTTCATTCACAGAAAGGACAGACACTACCCACACACTGCAGTTTGAAGGATAGTGCATTCTCATTCTCCTTCCCATGTTCACATCTTTCCTCTTTCCTGTCCCTGCATAGAGTGGGTGGCAGGTAGGAGGGATTCAGTCTGGGCCCCTCAGCATCAGCTCAGATAAGTTGATGACATGAGGTTTGCTCTGGGTAATACTAAGCACTGACATGGTTCTTAGCATTGCACAAACTTTATGAGCCATCTTCCTTCCTCTTCACAACAACCCCGTGAGGTGATGCTGCCATTACCCCCATCTTCTAGATATGAGATCTGAGGCTCAGAGAAGTGAGGTTTCCCCAGTGGTCATACAGCTAGCAAGGGTGGATCCAGGATTTAAGTCCAGATGGTCTGGCTTCAGGTAGCCAGATCCCGCCCCCACTCCCTTGAACAGCTTCTTTGTCCTTTGCTATGAAATGGACCCCCAAAGAGACATGTTCCCTGCCCCTGCATGCCCCATGTTAGTACCTGTAGCATCCTCAGCTTTCAAGTTTCATTCTTACTAGGACTTTTGCTTGTCTTGCCAAAGAGCTAACTCCTAGCCCTTCTGCCACCCTCCTTCACACTCAAGAGCTAGCTTAGAGCCCACATCTGGACAGTAAGGGCAGTAGAGTAGTGTTTTGTGGGCTTATTGTAAAGATGAAACAAGAAGGCAGGTCTAGGATGTGTTCCAGCAGTATGTGGAGAAAGGTTGGATGCTGCTCTGGGTTTCCATGGCAACAGCCTCCTCCTTGCTGCCTCTGCCTGGTGCCCAAAAGAGCTTAGTTTGGATGGCAAGGTGGGAAAGGTAAACTCTAGTCTCTTCTCTTTCCCTCCTGCAACCACCCTGCAGGCCAGCAGCCAGATGGAGCTGAAACCCTGCACTGACCAGCCTGCTGGGGAGAACCCCACCCCTCTAAGCTTAGCCTGAGATCTAAAAGCTGAGGGTCCTCCCATGCAGAACAGTAGCCTGGGCCAACAGCAATCCTCTCCTCAAATCTTAAAGGCTGTGAATTACCATGTTTGCACCTCCTTGGTCAATGCAGGGCTTGACAAAAGTAGATGTTTGATTGATTAAATCCATCTGGTTGGGTGATTAGATGGATGGATGGATGGGATGGATGTGTAAACCAGTGATTCATCCCACTCTGTAGCCACTACTGATCATTTCCACTCCTCCATAATGCTGTGCTCAGTCTTTCCCATGGGTGTTTGTCAATATAGTTCCCTCTGCCCACCCTTCCCCACTGCATGGTGCTAACTCCTACACCTTCACATCTCAGCTCGGAGGTCACTTTGTCAAAATTCAAAACTTGTTTGCTTTAAAAGACACCATCAAGGGATTGGAGAGGTGGCTTGGTGGTTAAGAGTGCTTTCTGCCCTTGCAGAGGACCCAAATTCAGTTTCCAGTACCCATATCAGGGATCCCACAACCACCTATACCTCCTGCTCCAGGGGATCTAATGCCCTCTTCTGGTTTCTGCAGGCACTTGCATTCACATGCACATACCCACACACACACACACACACACACACACACACACACACACACACACAATTAAAAAATAAAAGAAATTTTAAAAAATTAATAAATAACAGATACCATCAAAAGATGAAAAGACAACATAGTGGTAGACACTGCTGTGAATCTGAGCATATATAGAGGAACGGGGGATCTAAGGATGGAACTACCAGATGAGGACTGTTGGGCTGGCAAGTATGTGACCTCTACTCCGCATTTCTTCTTTCACAGCAACCCTGTAGCTGAGTGGAGTTTTCAGACCGGGTTCGGACTGTCTTTGGAGAAGTGACACAGGTAGGAAATGTCTCCTTGGATTTAGACCTGGTTCACCTTCCCTTATCGCTGCCTTGTTGTGGGCTCCCCCTAGTGGCCTACATCAGAACTGTAGCTTCCTGCCTAAACTGACCTCAAACCTTGGATGGCTATCACATGGCTGGAGCCTCCACCTACCCTGGAGATGCAATTGCTGACACTTGACATTCAGGCTTAAAGCTGAAGCATAGCAATTGGAAATTTAAATCTGGCTGCACATGTTAGTGAGTCAGTGACCTTGGGTAGACAATGAAACCCTAGGTAGAACGAAGAGGAAAGCAACTTGGGATGCTGACCGAGGGTGGAGTGTGTGCTTGTGTGCTCTCCTTCCTTTCCCAGTGCTAATTTCATTACATTCTCTATCCCTACTTTTTTTTTTTTTGTCTTTTTGAGACAGGGTCTCCCTGTAGTCCCAGCTTACCTGAACTCACTACATAGACGAGACTGGCTTTGAACTCACAGAGATTGGCCTGCCTCTGCCTCCAGAGTGCTGGGACTAAAGGCATGGGCCACCACACCTGGCCTGGTGAGT